GCCTAAGAGAATTGCACTGATGTCTCTGGTAAGCAATGCTCCTTCCTCAGGACTTACGCCATTCACAACCATTCTCTTTACATACCTTCTTCGAGCTGGTGAAAGCTTGACTGTATCAACAAGAGGGATCTCAAGCATCAGCTTGTCTATCATAGCTTTGCATCTGGCTTCTTCTATCTCATGTTTAGACTTCCTAGGATGCTTGGTGAATGGTGTTTTGGGTTTATAGACACGTTCCTGGTCATAATTTGCAGTTACAAGCGAAGCAGCTTCGTTCTGGGGTGGGTGACGACCGTCACCAGGGGGTGACGCTCGTCACGCACTTGTGACAACCCCCGATATCCTTGTAGGTTGGTGACGAGCGTAACTCCTCCTTGGTGACGCTCGTCACTCACCTCTGAGACAGAAAAATTTTCATCTTCAGACTCCATGAGTTGCACGATCTGCTCTGCACTCAGCCTCTTTTTCTGCACTGTTTTAAGCTCCTTTTCATTCCTGACTGTGATGGCATTAACCTGATGCTTGGGATTGATGTCAGTCCTTCCAGGAAGGAATCCCTCTTGCCTTTGAACAGCTCCTGCAGTTTGAGCAACCTGCACATCAAGCTTCTTCATGTGAGAGTTCAGACTCTCAATTTTTCCATTCAGGTCTTGATACAGTGAATCTAGCTCGCCATTGAAGTTCACTGTCATCTTCTGCTGTCCTTCAAGTACCTGCTCCAGCATAGCTTCCATTTTATTTTCTTGTGGAGGTGCAGTTTGGTAGGAAGAAGAACCATAATTCCTGCTGTTTTGGTAAGATTTCTCAACTTCAGTCTTCTGGAACTGTGGTATTGGAGTATAACCAAAAGCATTCTGGTTTCCTGGGAATGTGTTCTTCTGATTGTTGCCATTAAATCCTCTGTTCCACTGTTGACTCCCAAACCTTTGGTTCTGAAAACCTCCATTGATGAAGTTAACATCTTTCTGCTCAATGTCTTCAGGATTTTCGAAACTCTCCACTTCTGCAGCGAATTGGACTGACTTCTTTCCCACCAAAAGGCTGTGCATGCTGTCCAACTTAGCCTTAACTTCAGATATTTGGTTTCCATCATTCAAACCAGCCTGCTGCTTTCTCTGAAAATCTGCATTCTTAGTGCTGTTACTGCAGGCCAAGTTTTCAATCAATCTTACAGCTTCTTCTGGTCTGTTGGTGTTGAAGTTTCCACTACTTGAAGCATCCAGTGCCATCTGATATTTCCAGTCAATGCCTCTGAAGAAGATACCAAGCAGCTGCACCTGATTGAAACCATGATGAGGACAGTCCCTTTGATAAGACTTAAACCTGATCCAAGAAGCCTTAAAAGCTTCAGTAGGACCTTGTGTAAAGGATGCAATTTTCGTCCTCATGTCCTCTGATCTGGCATCATCATAGAAGTTGTTCAGAAAGGCGTTCTTGGTGTCCTCCCAAGTAGTTAATGAACCAGGCTCCAGTTGCTTCAGCCAATATGCAGCCTCTCCTCCAAGAGAGTAAGGAAAAAGCTTGCAGAACAGAAAGTCATTGCTAACTCCAATAGCTTTGACACTTGAAGGTAGGTCCTCAAATCTCTCTATGTGATCCATAGGATGCTCATGAGGTAAACCATGGAAGGGATGCTGACCAACCAGCTGATAGTAGACAGGTTTGACCTCAAAATCGTTCCTCTGGAAGGCAGGAGGTCGGATTGCAGCTCTGTTGGCATAGAACTGATCAGGTCTGTTGTAGTCACCTAGAGTCCTCTGAACAAAACGCCCAGCAGCGTTATTGACAGCAGCAGGGACCCCCACGTTCTCAGCCACTTGCTGAACCTGCTGTTCAACAATGACATTCCCCTCTTGATCAATTCTCTGCCCCTCTTCGTTCCTCCTGTTTCCTTCCCTGTCAACCAAGTGACCTTCTGCATCTTCAACCAAGATAAGTGGAGCGACAATTGTAGATTGCTTCTTAGCTTTCCTGTTAGTTCTCTCCAACCTAGCAAGCTCGTCGATGCTCAAAGTCACAAGCTCCTTCTCTTTGTTGCTTCTGGTTCTGCGATTAGGCATACACCTGAAACAGGAACAAAGAAAAGTAGCTGAAAGTCAGTAAACAAATAAAAACTTAGACAAAATCCTAATACTAAAAATCGATAGGCAGCTATTACTCCCCGGCAACGGCGCCAAAAACTTGATTGGGTCAGGTTTTACCCAAATAAAACTACTGCAAGTGCACAGCAAAAGCAGTTGTAGTACAAGGGGTTATCGAATCCCAAGGGAGTATGTAAACCTCACTAGCGATTATAGATTCAGATTAAGCTAAGCGATAAATAATGAATGTAATGCAAAACAGTAAAATAAATGCAAGAGGGCGTTTTTATGCTTGTTCTTAAAGTTCAGAAGGCTAAAGGCGCTAAGTCAGGACAGTTCGCAGGTTGAATCTGAGAGTGTAGAATGCATGCAATCAGGAATGAATTAAAACCGTCTTGAACATGAATCACAAAGATATTACTAATCAATTCTCATTGCAGAAGTTATCTATGTCTAAATCACAGAGTTTCAAATCTCTTTGCAAAACCCTAACAACCTAAACATGCAGTAATGATCAGGTTCAATTGCACACAAAACTCCTAAGCCAAATCTCTTTGTACTAGGGCGTTTTGCTCATCTAATACTAGTTCAGGTGAATAATAATGCTCTCACATCTATCAAAAACCTAGGATTTCGAAATCCAGATGATGTGTATAAGAAATCGATATGAATGCAAGCACAGATGAAGAACCAATGAATTTCCTATAAGTTTTTAGTAATTCTACAAACTATTTTTCAACCTTTGAAAAGCCCTAACTTAACTAACAAACTACTCAGACATGGTGATTTGTGAAAACATCATGAAAAGAATAGATTGCATAAAAGAAATAAGAAATACAAAATAAAGGAGTTCAAAATCTGCTCTGAAGGAGTCTGATTTGTCTCTCCAAAAGCTCTGCTATCTCTAAAGCTCTCAAAAATAATAAGATACAAGATATCTGCCAAAAGAATGGCTGAAAAACCTAATATACAAGCTAAAACACGATCTGGGGTATTTTTACAAATATTGGAACTTTTGGGCCAAAACTGCAATTTCTTCCCAATCTTTTAAAAACAGGTCACGACCCCTTCCTTTCTGGGTGACGAGCGTCATCAAAAGTGGTGACAAGCGTCACCCATATGCATACTTTCCTTCCCGAGTTGGATACTTCGTGGCTTCAACTTGCAATGCTCCAAAAGGTTCCAATATTTCCAGTTATGCTCCAGACATGCTATAACCTGCAAGACTCTTCTAGGACTCTAAAAAGACCAAAAAGACTCAATAAAAAGAACTTATATCATTGTTTAAAACCATAAAAACGATGATATATCAGTCATAAGAGGGCAGGAGCTACAAATATTTACATTGAGCATCAACATCGAGCCAGTCTGCTCAATGTCAGGCACCCGAGGAAGCAACATCAAGCACTCACATCGAGCTGGCTAGCTCAATGTTCACCTGATCCAAACTTTAATTATTTACAAGCTTGCCATTGCTTTAAAGTTTTTTTTCATTTAGTATAAATACTCTTTAACCTAAGGTTTTTAGCAAGTCTTGTTCTTGCATTTATCCAGTTTTCTCTCTTAATTGCTTTTGATTTGTAAGAACAAGATCCACCTTTAAATCATAAGTTTTTGCAATCATCTCTTTAATTTCATCTCCCTAATCATGATTAACTCCTTAATCCTTGTTGATTTGATGGTATTAATGATGATTAGTGAGTACTCTTCTTTAGGAGCATAGATGTGGTATATTAGGAGAATTTAAGGCTTGATTAAGGTTTGTTAGTTCTTAACATTGATTGATTACTCTCTGTTAGTTTGTTTTAAACTAGATTTGTCTTGATCACATGAATCTCAAATTAGGCTTTATCTTATCCCCACCAAGTGTTTGATGAAATGCTGATCTTGTCTTTTAGAGGATTTACTTGTCTTAGCTCAAGGGATTGACTGCCTAAGAAGTATTTTGTCTTAAATAGGATTGGCTTAGCTTGCTTGTTATTGATCTTAACACTAATGGGAGTTAGTTCTTGTTAGGATGTTTAGCAAAGTGTTAATCACTAAGGGATTGGGTTTAACTTGCTTAATTGTGAATTCTATGCCTAGGAATTAGCATTGCTTGCTTGTTTGCATTGTCAACAAGCTTGATAACAAACTAGTCTAGCCTTTGAATTGCCCAAACTCCATAACCACATATAGGATCCGTGCTTTTTTATCTGAATTTTGAAATTTGCTTTGCTCTGTTCTTGTTGCTCTGTTTCTTGCTTGATCATTGCATAAGTATTGCTTTCACTAGTCTTGCTTAGTCTTTGTTTCTCTTAGTTAATTATTCCAGTAGTTAAAACAACTTCTTCTCTGTTTTTGTTTGACTTAAGACTTCTATTGCATTCCTAGTTGTATCTATCTTAGACATTTGGATTGATTACCTACAGACGCGTCTCGCAGGGCTCTGCACCCCAAAACTCGCCCTGGGTTCGAGCAATCTCAAGAATCCAGGGGAACAACCTAAAGTAGGGATCCCTGTGAACACCAGAATCATTGATGAGTTCGAAGGAATTCTACTTAAGTGGACTCTAAACTGTGTTGAAACTAAGTGTTACCCCTACGAGAAACGGTATACTTTTCTTTTCTCTTGTCCTTGACACGCAATGCCGTCTTTTAGCACGTGCAGGTGAAGCAGTCTAACAGGATTCGGGACTAAAGACAAAAAAAAAATCTCAAGGAATTCCAACTAAATATATGGATTATGGTTTGATTTTTTTTTATCAAACATCCTTTATCATTTAGATTTGCCCTTAATACAAAATTTGAACAAGGCTTACAAATAGTTTGAGACATCCTTGTTGACACTAGTCTTAGTCTTTTTGTTCTTACAGAGTTGGTTTCTATGTTTTCAGGTGCTTTCATCTTACATGTAAGAAGGAATTTCGTGAGAAGATAATGACAGATTACTTCCCCCACTTGGCAAGATTAGCAGCTAAGAAAAACAGCCATCGCGAGAAACTCAAGATTTATTCTTACAACAAAGAACGGTCCCATTGGCAACCCACCACTTTCGATCACCACACGACCTTTGAGACCCTAGCCATCGAGCCCGACCTCAAGAACACCGTGATCGACGATCTCGACGCTTTCTCTAAAGGAAAAGACTTCTTCAAGAGCGTGTCCCACGCCCTGGAAACGTGGATATCTTCTTTATGGTACACCGGGTACGGGTAAATCCTCTATGGTGGCTGCAATTGCTAATCACATGAAGTACCATATCTACGATCTCCAGCTTCAGAGCGTTAAAGACGATGCTGAGTTGCGGAAGATTCTCACATCCACCAAGAACGGATCAATTCTTCTCATTGAAGACATTGATTGTGGATCTGATGCCTCTCGTAAACGCAAGACCAGCGAAAAAAAAAGGAAGATGGCGAGCTCCAAATTGGCGAGAAGAAGGAGGCGGACCTTGGGGTACTGTTGTTGGTTATAAAACTCTGTTTCCGAAGCTTATGAATGTTCCTTCTGGACAGGTATCTTTGTCCGGTCTATTGAACTTTGTGGACGGGCTTTGGTCGAGCTGCGGAGAAGAAAGAATCCTAATTTTCACTACCAATCACAAGGAGAAGCTCGACCCAGCCTTGTTGAGGCCAGGAAGAATGGATGTTCACATCCTCATGGGCAATTGCACGCCATTTGTGTTCAAGAAGATTGATGACCATGCCCTGTTGGATCCCATTGAGAAGCTCGTCCTTGAGGTCAGTGTAACTCCGGCTGAAGTCGCGCAGCAGCTCATGGCGAGTAAGGTCGCTGATATTGCGCTCAAAGGTCTCCTCGAATACTTGGAAGCCAAGAAGATAAAAAACGAAGAAGAGACCAGAGCGGAGGCAGAGGGAGTGATTGAAATACCGAAACTAAAAAAGCAGACACATAAGCTGAACAAGAAGCCGAAATGATGCCGCTCATCATATCCATCTTAGGGTTCTTGTCCAACATTTGTGACGGACTTTTAATTAGTGTTCGGCAAAGTTATTCAGTTATCGGCTTTTAAGATGGGCTTTTCTTTCGTTGGGTGTTTGCAGGGGTGGGTACAAAAACCACCAAATAAAAAAAGTGATATGGTTTGATTATGGTTAAAACCTAAAAATCTTTTTGGTCATTATCTTTTTATAATTTCAGTTTAAGTTTGTTTTAGTTAAAAACCGTCAAACCAAAAGGTTTTGTCGGTTTTAAACTAAATTTTAAATAATTTATATTTTTCTAGAATCTTAATTTAGTTTAGGTTTATATTTTATTATTGGGCTTAGTTATCTTTATAATTTACTAACTTAACTCCTAAATTTAAAATATTTATAAAAAATATCTACATATAATTAATAAAATAAATCTTAATTTTTCAATGAAAAAATGTGATCAATTCTTTTTTTTTCAAATTCAAGTCTTCTAGTTCTAGTTTCAAGGTTATAAGTATTAATTTTTAATCAAAATTTGTTTATTGTTTTATAATTATTGATTATGAAAGTTTTGGTAATTTGTTTGTTTCTCTGTTTTGAAATCTGTCTTTATTGATAGATTTTTTTATGATTTAGATTTTATTTTTTGAACTTACTGTTTTATTTCACTCATATCTATTATTATTATTTCTATTAGTTTGAATCAAAAAATTTTGTAATAGTATAATTCCAAAAAACTAAAACCAAACCATATCAAACCGTAAAAAACCAAACCATAACGAACCGAAATATATGTGGCTTTTATATGGTTTAAATTTGCTAAGTAAGCTGCGAAAATTTCGCAAAGCTCTTGGCTATTCTCTTGATGATATTTCAGGGATCTCTCCAGACTTGTACATGCATAGGATACACTTGGAGGATGAGTTGAAATCATCAGTTGAGCACCAGAGGAGGCTGAATCCGAATTTCCAGGATGTGGTCAAGAAAGAGATCATGAAGTTGTTGCAAGCTGGTATCATCTATCATATATCAGACAGTGCTTGGGTGAGTCCAGTGCACGTGGTGCCTAAGAAATGAGGTGTTATAGTGGTGAAGAATGACAAGGATGAGCTGATTCCAACTAGAACTGTGACAGGACACAGGATGTGCATTGATTACATGAAGCTGAATGCAGCAACAAGGAAAGACCATTTTCCTCTACCTTTCATCGATCAGATGCATGAGAGGCTGACAAATCACAAGTATTACTGCTTTCTTGATGGCTATTCAGGCTTCTTTCAGATTCCCATCCATCCATATGATCAGGAGAAGACCACCTTTACCTGTCTTTATGGCACTTTTGCCCATCGCAGAATGCCCTTTGGGCTGTGTAATTATACTATTACAAAAAATCCTGCAACCTTCCAGAGATGCATGATGTCGATCTTCACAGACATGATTGAGAAGTATATGGAGGTTTTCATGGATGACTTTTCTATTTATGGTTCCTCTTTCAAGAGCTGCTTGGACAATTTGTGTGCAGTTCTGCAGAGATGTGAAGAGAAGCACTTGGTTTTGAACTAGGAGAATTGCCATTTTATGGTACAGGATGGTATTGTGCTTGGTCACAGAGTCTCAGGAGATGATATATAGGTGGATAGGGTGAAAATTGAAGTGATGACAAGTCTGCAAGCACCTGATTCAGTCAAAGCAGTGAGGAGTTTTCTGGGTTATGCAGGTTTCTACAGAAGATTCATCAAGGACTTTAGCAAGATAGCACGCCCCCTTGCTGCTCTCCTCTGCAAATATGTGAAGTTTGAGTTCACAGAAGAGTGCAAATCCGCATTTGAACAGATCAAGCAAGCTCTGGTTACAGCTCCTGTTGTGCAGCCTCCAGATTGGGACCTACCTTTTGAGGTGATGTGTGATGCCAGCGATTTTGCAGTTGGAGCAGTGCTGGGACAGAGGAAAGACAAGCAGCTCCACGCCATTTACTATGCAAGTAGGACTTTGGATGATGCTCAGAAGAACTATGCAGCCTCCAGACTGGGACCTACCTTTTGAGGTGATGTGTGATGCCAGTGATTTTGCAGTTGGAGCAGTGCTGGGACAGAGGAAAGTCAAGAAGCTCCACGCCATTTACTATGCAAGTAGGACTTTGGATGATGCTCAGAATAACTATGCAACAACTGAGAAGGAATTGTTGGCTGTTGTGTTTGCATTTGAGAAATTCAGACAATACCTTGTTGGCTCCAAGGTCGTGGTCCATACTGACCATTCAACACTGAAGTATCTGATGCAGAAGAAGGATGCAAAGCCAAGGTTGTTGAGATGGATCCTGCTTCTTCAGGAGTTTGACATTGAAGTGAAGGACAAGAAAGATGTTGAGAATGGTGTTGCTGATCATCTGTCCAGGATTCAGGTCGAAGACAGTGTCCCAATCAATGATTTCTTGCCTGAAGAGAATGTTTACTTGGTGGAAACAAGAGATCAAGAGGAAAGTGTTGAAAACCTGCAGTTTTCACAAAACTGCAGGGGAGTGACGAGCAACACCAGGAGGGTGACGTTCGTCACTAATCCAGAACAGTCACGGCCAAGTTATACGAAGGGGGTGACGCTCGTCACCAAACTCTGAACTTGGCTGCGATTTGTGCAAGCTTGGGGATGGCTTTTGAAGAGCATGCTTATGGTTTGGATGATCCAAAGAGGCCCTGGTATGCTGATATTGCCAACTACCTTGCTGCAGAGGATGAACCACATGACTTCAAGAGCTATGCTAAGAAGAAGTTCTTGAGAGAGCTTAGGAGATTCTATTGGGATGAGCCATACCTCTACAAGCATTGTGCTGATGGGATCTATAGGAGATGCATAACAGAAGAAGAAGTGCAGGACATTCTCTTTCACTGTCATGGCTCAGAGTATGCTGGACACTTTGCCACATTCAAAACAGTCTCTAAGGTTCTTCAAGCTGGTTTGTGGTGGCCTACTATGTTCAGGGACGCCCAGGCATTCATTACAAGCTGTGATACTTGTCAGAGAAGAGGAAAGATCAGCAGGAGACATGAGATGCCACAGAACTTCATTCTGGAAGTAGAAGTCTTTGATTGTTGGGGTATTGACTTCATGGGACCTTTTCTCTCATCTTATGGGAATAGATACATTCTGGTTGCTGTTGATTATGTATCTAAGTGGGTAGAGGCGTTGGCTACTCCTACTAATGATGCTGCAGTGGTTTTGAAGCTGTTTAAGACCATTATCTTTCCCATATTTGATGTCCCACGGATTGTCATAAGTGATGGTGGTTCTCACTTTGTCAATAATGTTTTTGACAAGCTACTGAAGAAGTATGGTGTACAGCACAGAGTGGCCACGCCCTACCATCCCCAAACCAGTGGACAAGTTGAGGTTTCCAACAGACAGATCAGGCAGATTCTGGAGAAGACAGTTGGAAAGACAAGGAAAGTTTGGTCTGCAAAGCTGGATGATGCATTATGGGCTTACAGGACAGCATACAAAACGCCACTTGGGACTACACCATTCCATCTTCTCTATGGCAAGGCGTGCCATCTACCAGTAGAGCTGGAGTTCAAAGCAGAATGGACTATCAAGAAGCTGAACTTCGATCTGAAACCTGCTGCAGAAAAGCGCTTGATTAAGCTCAATGAACTGGATGAGATCAGATATCTGGCTTATGAAAACTCCAAGTTATACAAGGAGAGGACAAAGGCATATCATGATAAAAAGATCATCTCCAGACATTTCGAGCCTAACGACCAGGTACTACTTTACAACTCTCGATTACAGCTTTTTCCTGGTAAACTGCGTTCTCGATGCGTTCTCGATGGTCTTGGAGTTATCTGGACTTTTACTACTACTTATGGAGAGTATGTTGGCATTAAGTTGCCACAGAGAGCGCTCACAACGATTCAGGGTGCTCCACGCCAGCTGTTCTTCATGCCAGATCAGACTCTGCTGTGCCCTTTACCTTTGCGCCCTGCTAGAGCTGCTACTGCTGGCGTTTCTGCTCCTCCTACAGCTGCAGCTGGTGATGCTGGACCATCTCGACGCCAGACTACTACTTCCACTGCTTTCAGGCACCCTCCACGACCAAAGACACCCATGGACATGGCTGCTTTTTCAGGAGTATGTCATTGACAGCTTTGAGGGACTGTGGGATGCTGTTGCTACGCTTAGCAACTGTGGTTGCGCCCGCCCCCATTACACCATTGAGCCTTGCGAGGATGAGGACAGAGGCTCTACTATCTGGTTACTTGTTTCTTTTTCTCTTTTATTTTTATTTCTCTTGAGTCATTTTTCTGTTTTCTTTGAGTCAGTTGTCAGTACTTTGATGATGTTTTGTGAGATTGTTGAACCAGGTTCTTATTGCTATGTTTGGATGTTATTGATTGTGTGTTTGAGTGCTCTAATAGTCTAACTTTAGAGTACACATGACAACATTACGTCAATAACTATCTAACTTGTTGATTCTGCAATACAGGTCGTGGTGACGCTCATCACCAGACTGGTGACGCTCGTCACCCGACCCCCTGCGAGGTAAAACTTTTCGCCTTGGTTCTTCGACTTATCTTTCATCTTTTTGACAACCTCTTGGCTTAATTACACTAGGGACAGTGTTGTTTATGTCTGGGGGAGGTGGTTACTGAAGTTGTGTGCTTTGTGTCATGTTTATAGAGTCTTAAAGTTGAGTCAAAAACCTGTTTTTATAGAGTCAAAATTTTGAAACTGTCAGTTTTTCTTGGAACTAACCATAGGGCGTTTGCTTATAAGAACCATTGCCACAGTAGTTGATTACAAGTCTTACTAAGTTGAAAGTCATAGGTAGACCAGTCTAGCAATAAAGGTTTAGGTCCTTAGAGAATCTGAAAAATTTGCTGTTAGCTCCACCTTAATGAACTATAAACTTCTTATCTTGGTGTTTGATTCTTATTAATCTTGATTCTCTCTTTCAGCACTGACAATAAGGTTAAGATACAGTCTCTCTTTGATATTCCATGATGTAGTTT